ATTAGAATAATTATCGAGTTACAACAAAATAAATAATTACTATCTTTATAAAAAAATTATATTATTAAACCAAATATAAATTACTTCATTATTGTACATAAATTAAATTATAAAAAATTGAATTAAAAATTACACAAAAAATGAGGAATTTCAAATAGTTAATTTGATACTAATATTGATATATTTTTGTCAAATTTTGATGATATCTTCAAACATATATTTTATTCAAAAATAAAAACATCATTGTTTTCTCAAAATCACATAAAGCGATATTATAACATCGACTAAGATAAAAAATAAGATGAAATATTAAAATCACGATGTATCTCGTTGCATTGCGCGAGTACGCTTCTAGTATATATATATACACACACACACACACTATATATATATATATACACTATATTATAAAACATTTGACAAAAACTCTTAAAAACTATTTTTTTTATACATGAAGTATTGTTTATGATGTATATTACTTAAAATTCAAGATTACAAGTAAATTTTATATAAGTACAACTTATTAAGACTCTATGTTTGAATTCGTATAACTAACTGTAGATAAACATAATCAAATACATGATAAATAATTCATTTTAAATATATAAAAAATCTAAAATATAATTAGGATAATTATTGTGTTCTAACAAAATATTTAATTATTATCCGTATAATTAAATCAAAATAAATTACTTTGTTATTAAATTTAAATTAAATTATAATAAAAATTTGAATTAAAGAAATTACACAAAAATAATAACTTTTAAATAGTTAATTTGATACTAATATCGATTATTTTTTTCAAAATTTTATAATATCTTCAAATTTATATTTTATTCAAAAATAAAAACATATTCGTTTTCTCAGAAGCACATAAAATCGCATAATAAAATCGATAGAGCCAAAATATAAAACGAAACATTAAGATCGACATGTATTTCGCTGCATTGTGTGAGTACTCTTCTAGTTATATTATAAAACATTTGACAAAAACTCACAAAAATCATTTTTTATGCATTAAGTATTGTTTATTGATGCATATTATTTAAAATTTAATATTACAAGTAAATTGTTCAAATGCACAACTTATTAAAACTTCATGTTTGAATTCATGTAACTAACTGCAGATAAACATAATCAAATAATAGATAAGTATCTCAATTTAAATATAAAAAAAATCTAAAATATATTTAGGACAATCTTTGTAAAAAATTATATTATTAAACCAAAAATAAGTGACTTAATTATTAAATTTAAATTAAATTATAATAAAAAATTTGAATTAAATAAATTACAAAAAAAAAAACAAGAACTTTTAAATATTTAATTTGATACTATCGATGTATCTTTTTTTCAAAACTTTATGACACCTTCAAATTTATATTTTATAAGAAACTTTGAAATTAAATGTTTAAAGGAAACAACAATATTTTATTAAATGTTTAAATATTTTAATAACATGATCAAAGGAAATGTTGTAATATCTAAAACTGTAAACATTTTTTTAATTATATAATATTTATATACGACAGATGCAACAAATAAACTCACACACCCTACTCACATTTGTTGATGTTTGGACCCATGATCTTCTAGGAGGTCAAAGACTACGATACTACTAGAGATTTTCAATTTAAATTATTCATTTTGCAGAATCTATTTAAAATGTTTTCAATGTTTTTTTATTCGAGGTGCTAGCAAGAAGCCAATCAATCGTATTCATGTTTAGTTATAGTCAAACATCAAAGGGGCCTAAACTCATAATTATGTTGTTGTGTAATATACGCTACTTTTGTTGCTTTATCATAAAGTATTACTTTTGTTGGAGGTCTCATGATCAGGTTTTGTTTAATATTATCATTGGTTTTTGTGGGTTTTATCGGTTTTTTTAAGTGGAATTTTTGTATGGTTTAAATATCCGACAATTGGATTCAGATATCATGAACTTAGCCAATTAAGATTTAGTTACCACTGTCATGTGTTCTAAAAAAGACGAAAAAATTATTCTAGGTTGTGTTTTAAATGGCTGTTAGAAAAAGCATCTGATGTTTAAAATAAATTCACATCCTAAAATAAGACACGTTTTTTAGATATTTGTAACGTAATATCAATCATGTCTAAAAAAAATAGCGTTCTCAAATTTGTGAGTAGGGAGTCTAAGAACGAATGTCGTACCTAGAATGAAAAGACAAAGGCCGAAAGGTACAAAAGGTGATGAAATAATGATACGGTACACATGGGTTGGACGAAACTACAGATAACCACTTGAAAGGTTAAATGGTCCGTTTTGATCATCAACATACCTAATTGCCCCTTCGTGCACAAACCATTACAGCCTGTTGCACCGTCGATGCATGGTAATCCATACTTTGATACTTATCCAGTTACATACCTTGATAGGTTTAACACGATGAGAACGACAGTTTTTTTACACTAGGTATAAACAGTAATCCGAAAATATTAGGTATATCGTATACACACACGAGATGTATCAATGCAACTTCCACTACACTTTCATAAGTTGTTACCGTAAAAATATGGTTCTAGCCAAGTGTCAAGGTTTTATTTTGATAAATCTCCGATGCAATTATAACGTTCTCTTTCTATTTTTCGAGTGAATCAATATTCTTTCAGTAATTCTTCACCCTTTTTACTCCGAGCCAACATATCATACTACATGTCTTTTTTCTTTCTGAACATCACACACAAATGATCGTGATATATATATATATATATATAGGGTTGGGTTCCGATGAGAAGGGAAACTATGGCGAGAAATGTAAAAAAACGATCTCCACCTTGGATGAATCCTGATTGAATGTCAACACTAATGAGGTGTACTGAGATGCATTAGATCAATTATATTCTAAAACGCAATTCATGGGTGGACAGAAGATTAAAAGTGATCAATAATTCAGATATCTTATTACGTTTCTCACCATAACCTCATTTCTTACACGATCCTTCGCATGTATATTTGTGTGTGCATATCCCAACTTCAATTTTTGGACAAATGTTTTAAGCAAACGATAATGAATTTAAATTTGCATTCGTAGATATCGGAAAACGAGTTAATTCGTTTGTCTTACGCAAGTGCCAATCAATACGCTTAACACAAACACTTCAACATGACACGGTATTCTTACGTGTATCGAAAAGAAACCACAATACAATAGCTTCATTGATTATAAAATATCATCGCATCCACATATAACATAAAAAAAATCAATCTGCGTATATAAACATAAAATAACGTCATGGTTCATGACTTTATGTTACAATCATAACTTTTCAAATATTTTAAAATAATAAATAAATATTTCCTAACATTATTATATTTAATTCCAAATTTTATTAAATAATACATTACTCAATAAAACCTGTATTCATGGTTTTAATCTAATATTTACAAAATAAATATTAAATGGTCAATATACGCAACATAACACAAATTAAAACAATGTTTTAAATGATTCCCATAATAAATAGAAATTCATGTGGTCACGGGCAATTTCCCAACCTTAAATATCAACATCACAACCGACACCAATATGATAAACATACGGGATAATGTATCTGTGTTTATGAAAGAAATACACGAAAAATTTCAGCTTACCGTCATACCCACCAAATCAGAAGCAGGCAAACTCAACGAAACCCGTGTTTTCATTAAATAGACATTCAGATTTTCACGACGGACCTACGTGCCTACAAGATATGCACATACATATCACAAAAAATCAACCATCTCCCCTATCAGTTACGTGTTGTTTTAAAATTTCACTATTAATGAAATTATGAACCATCATATAATTAATAATGGATATAGTGATTGCAAACGACAAAGTAGATGGATGTTATGTCTTACGATAAAATAATTAATCTCAGTAAGTAATAAAATTTGTATTATATAACAATACTGTCCATAAGTAATAAAATCTGTATTATATAACAATACTGGTTTCAAAACTGTATTAAAAAAAATATACCCAATCAAGCGGTAGATTTGATTAACAAAACAACAACCATCAAATTCATAACACTTACACAAACACCCCCAAATTGAAGTGTTTGTTGCATAAAAAGGGAAACAAAAAAATGGAGGATTCTCATACTATTATGAGATCATGAAGCATTTACCATATTTGGAATCAGAAATAAGAAGAGGGAAAATTCAAATGCAAATCCAATTTCAATTATCTTCGATTTCTTGATGTCCAAATTTCAAATTCAACACCTACCAGTTGCAGATGATGATTATTATATAATATATATATATAAACCACCATCATCGTCATCATCATCATCAGCATAATCAAGTATAATACCTACTACTATTACTGATTTCACTCGATCTCTCTCAGACCCTTATCCTTCACCCTTACTGCATCTTCCATGGCTCATGATAGTGACCTTCCCTGCGACGGAGATGATCGGTGCATGATCTGCAAAATCACGCCGCCGGTGGAAGAGACGTTAACCTGCAAGACATGTGTCACTCCTTGGCATCTTGACTGTCTATCTGTTCGACCCCAAACCCTAGCCGATGCTGCCCAATGGGAGTGTCCCGACTGTTCTAATCTCATTTCATCTCATCCGCCTCCATCCGCCGTTACATCGGGATCTGAGCCATCTGCTACGCTGATTGCCGCTATTCGGGTCATTGAGTCGGATGCCTCACTCTCTGACCAAGAGAAGGCTAAGAGACGACAGCAGTTGTTGAGTGGAGGAGGATCTGATGATGGTGATAAAGGAATTGATGCCAAAAATGAGATCGGCGTCGGCGGCGATAGCGATGTTCTGAAGCTTCTCAGCGGCAGCTTCAACTGCTCCTTTTGCATGCAGCTACCGGAGAGACCCGTCACGGTATCGTTTCTCAGAGCAACATCTTGACTTTTGAATTACATACATTTCTTTATATCTAGCAGGATATAGTCTGGGATTTGTGTTGGCCTTACTCTAAACCCTAAATCCTTCTCCGATGATCTTTAACCAATGAACAAATAAACTCCAACTACTAAAATATGTTGCAAGTCTTGCATCCCCTATTAAAAACACCGGCATTACCATCATGGTGATTTATGTCCATATGTAGTACAATTAATGTTTCAACAAGTACTTGTTCCATATACGCACAAAAAGCCTTCATGAAATATTCAGTTGTCACTGATCATTGCTTTTTTGCTGAAAATGGGTAAAAATGGAATATTTCAGCTTCTGGTAGAATGGTGGTCCATGTGTTGGTAAATATCACTGAATTGCCCGGATGAAAGCATTCATGATCGGATTTGGGTACTTTTTTGTAGTGTTTGGTTGGAATCTTTTGGTTGCTTCCTGTTTTTGTGCTTATAGTCGAGGTCGTAACAAAGTTTGTTGCTATATTAGTTCTTGTTGGAAGCAAAGGAAGCATTGATATCTTCACTTGCCCTCACTAATTTCCCTTAGGTTGGTGTCTCTTCATTTATTAATACAAGTATCTAGTCACATCGCTCTCTTGCTGAGCTACACTTTCACGTAGTTCATGTGGTTCCAAGTGACTTGATTGATCTTCATAGCTGAATATGAATGGAGATCAAAGTGAGTTCGGAGTTGGTCCTCTGGTTTTTTTCCCCGAGGTTGCTGGTTCATTTATAAAAGGAGACACACGATAACTGCTGACCCATGTGTTGCTCCTTATTTGTGCTGATCAGTGTTGACCTTAGTAATTGTAAAAGAAGTTCCTGTGCTTGCATTATGGAATCTATCTAGCTCTACTTAAAGACTATATGTTTATGTTACAGACACCCTGTGGTCACAACTTTTGCCTGAAGTGCTTTGAGAAATGGGTTGGCCAAGGGAAACGTACTTGTGCCATCTGTCGAACTACAATTCCTCCTAAAATGGCAAGTCAGCCTCGAATCAACTCATCCCTTGTTATTGCAATTAGAATGGCGAAGATGACCAGGTCACATGCTGCTACAGGACCACCTAAAGCCTACAATTCTGTTCTAAACCAAAACAGACCAGACAAAGCATATACCAGTGAGCGCGCAAAGAAGTCTGGGAAGGCTAATGCATGCAGTGGAAAAATATTTGTCACAGTTCCACCTGATCATTTTGGACCCATTCTTGCAGAGAATGATCCAGAGAGAGGAACGGGAGTTCTTGTTGGGGAAACTTGGGAAGATCGTATGGAATGTAGACAGTGGGGGGTTCATCTTCCTCATGTTGCTGGGATATCTGGGCAGTCTGATTATGGTGCACAATCTGTGGCACTATCTGGAGGATATGAAGATGATGAAGATCATGGAGAGTGGTTCCTCTACACGGGAAGGTATGTGATGTTTCACATTTATAATGAGGTTTTGATGCCAGATGTGCTCTTTGTTAAAGAACTTTATTGTCATCTTACAAGTTCCATGTCAAGTTTGAAGTGACATTACTTACAGAATTGTTTAGTTCATCAACTGCTTATCTCTCACCATTCTTCAGTTTGCGGCAGATGGTAGTACTGTAAAACAGATGTACTTTTTAATTGAAGTAGAAGTTTCAATTTTTGTTGCATAACTCTATTTACCAGGACAAGTAGGTTTATTTGTGAATATTTTCTTCTCCATGCCTTTCTTTCTTTGTTATTGACAGTGGTGGAAGAGACTTGAGTGGAAATAAAAGGACCAACAAGACGCAGTCATTTGATCAGAAGTTTGAGAAGTATAATGAAGCTTTACGGGTTAGTTGCAGAAAAGGCTACCCAGTACGTGTTGTGAGGTATGGTCTTGTGACATTTTTTATAAGTAGACCTAATCATGAATCTATGTATCAAAGTCATAGTTTGCTAGATGTCAAAATTCACAACCGTCTATACTACCCATCACCTGGTATGTAATACTCGATTGATCTTAGACAGTTCCATCCTCATTCGGGAAGAACAAATATAAACAGGAACTACTTATATGGTCTTCAAATGTCTATAGTTTTTATATGGTTGATCTTTGTTTCTTCGAAGAGACAAGAACGCATTTGCAAAAGTTACTACCTTTTTGATATGTTGGTGTAGAGGGTGATTTAGATATCTAGACTGCCTTACTTTACTAATTAATAAATTGGACTGGTTTGATTATCAGTTCAATATTTTATTGGTGCATTTTAAAACAATGCAGGGTAGTGCCATAGTGGTGCTGCCTTCTCTTGAATGGTTCTGATATTATTTTTCAATGGTTGAAGGTTGTAAAATTTTAACATGCGTGTTAATCAGCAGTGATATTTCACAATATGTTCCTTTTTCTGTTACTCCATTAGCTAGAAGAAGACTAGAGATGTTTCATTTTTTTAGTTAGAGATATTAGTTTACATCCTAATATACGATATAATCTAAAAGAAAGCCATTTGTTAGTCCAAATGAAACCTATGACTTGTTTATGTTGTTAGTCTTATTTGTTTCACTTTTTGGTACATGGATGAATTTTTAATGAATAATCCTTGATTTATATGGACAGGTCACACAAGGAAAAACGATCTGCTTATGCACCGGAGAAAGGAGTACGGTATGATGGGATTTACAGGATTGAAAAATGCTGGAGGAAGCCTGGAATTCAAGTAGGTTATCACTCTTTTGGTTGATGTTAATATTAACAGCAGTCATGATATAATCCTTCTCAAACTTGTTAGCTGACGATTGTGCTTTTATAGGGATACAAAGTATGCCGGTATCTATTTGTTCGTTGTGATAATGATCCTGCTCCATGGACAAGGTTTGTCATTGCTATCATGATTGTTGCACTTTGCATCATTTATTAGTTCAGATAAATTTTGAGTTATTTACATCTACATGCAATTCTACAGTGATGAAAATGGGGATCGTCCAAGGCCTTTTCCTTCCATTAAGGAGCTGAAAAATGCAACAGATATAACAGAGAGAAAGGGTACTCCATCTTGGGATTACGATGTGAGATCATGCAACTTCTTACTGTAGGATTACTTGTGCTTTCACTGTATGTTTATGATGTGGATGTAGTTGGTTGTTGTTCTATCTTAAATGTTTTCTTTTGATTATTATGGAAATGCCATCAGTTGATTATCACATTGTAAGTTCTTTTGTGCAGGATGAGAAAGCTTGTTGGTTGTGGAAAGTACCTGCACCAGGAAGCAGAAAACATGCAGATAATGGAGATGTTGAGGATGGGAATCGCACAAAGAAAGTCCGTCGTAAAACACAAATGATGTCTGTGAGTGAACGATTACTGAAAGGTTTGTACTTTGTTAATAATACATGGAATTCTTCACGTTTACTTGTATCGTTGTACCAACAAATGATACACTCCCTCCGTCCCAAAATAAATGTCCACAATAAAAAAAAATCCACACGGTTTAAGAAAATTTATAATTATTATACTTTCTAATTAACCGAAAGACAATTATCTTCTCAGTGATAGAGACAAACATTCTCTCTCATCAACTTTTGAATTCGTACATCATAATCAAGGGTAGAACTGGAAATTTAATATCTATTTTTGAAAGCGGACATGCATTTTGGGACAAACTAAAATAGAAATATGGACGTTTGTTTTGGGGTGGATGGAGTATTCTGCTAGGAATCCGGTTGCCTAAACCTTTTGTGCTTCTGTTTCTAAATATGGCAAGCATGACGTATTTGTACTGCAGAGTTCTGCTGCCTCATCTGCCATAAAGTGATGACTCTCCCGCTTACTACTCCCTGTGCACACAATTTTTGCAAGTCCTGTTTGCAAGATACCTTTGCTGGACAAACTTTTATGAAGGAGAGGACATGTGAAGGTAGACGGGCATTAAGGGCAAAGAAGAACATCATGAAATGCCCTTCTTGCTCGAATGACATTTCTGAATACCTGCAAAATCCCCAGGTATATCGAGTATCTATACATATACCTATACTAGAAGTAAATGGGATAATGTAATGTATTTCTCTATCTTGAGGATAATCTTAGGCATGATATGGCTGCAAAATGATTTCATTCTTTTGACAGGTGAATAGGGAATTGATGAGTGTGATTGAATCACTTCAAAGGCAGACCAAAGAAATGGAGGAAAGTGCAGTGCTGGGAGATGAAATATTGGACACAGATGAGAAAACCGATGATGTTAAAGATGAGAAACCCGAGGCTGAGGTAAAAGACTTGAAGCCAGAGACGTCTGAGGCTGTTGTTTTCCAGGATGAGATGAATGTCGTATGTGATTCATCTAACGATGAGGCCAAGGGAAGCGATAAAAGAGAAGCCATTGCAAAAACTTCAGCTGTTAAAAGTAACAAGAAAAAGAAAGCAGGTGCTAGCAATAACAAGACAGCAGAGGAGAGTGGTACGACGAGTCTTAAGCCAGAAATTACGAGGATGAGTGAAGTTACAAAGAGGAAAATAGAGGATGACGGGAAATGCTCGTCGCCTATAAGTGCAGGAGTTGAGACGAGAAGCAAAAAAGCCAAGCAGGATGATGATGATGATGATGAGTCTAGTTTCACAACGGCAGTCTGATTTTATATCATATTCTCATTTGGGTTTTTAGGAGCTAGTATCTGTTTGGGGCTAGTTGCAACATATGTATCAAGTAATTCTCACATATTAAATGTATTCATGGGATTTGAATGCTTAAGACTGCGGATGAAATGTATATAGACCTGTTATCTATCCTTGACAAGAATAACAATATAGTAGAGTGGTTGTATGACATTCAACTAGGGTTCTTCAATGTTTGAAGTTGGGTTCAAATTTAGGTGCTGCAAAACTCTTGTAGGTTCACCTGCAATGACTTTTAAGTCATTTATGATCATCTAGAAGATTAGTCAGCTGATCTGAAAACCAGGTAAAAGTAAGATTTGTCAAACACCTTACAGTTAAGTAAGGTACAACCCAACTAGGAAAAGACTAGGAAAAATCGGATTCGAACCCATGTATCAAACTATTTACATGGATGGTCCCTATCTGTATACCAGTTTACAAACCCTGTAAAAGAAAAAGATTCAAAACAATATTACCAAAAACAAATATGTACCAAACTCATATAAATTTATAATAACTAAACCTCCAATACGTTTGATATCTTTGATAAACAACAATTTGTTTCTCCTTGGCGAAACAAAGTCCTAAATGAAACATATCGTCTTATTTTTAGCTTCCAATAAGGAAACTTCTGTTACTTCCAAAGAAGCAACATCTAAAATCTTTAGAAAATGTTTATATTGTTTTTGCATAAGCAGTTGTGATGTCCATATTTAACCATTTGGATAGAGGTTGTTATTTGCACCTCCTCTACCTAATAAAAATGTCAAAAAAGACATAGTAAATAACATTAAATTACCTAAAAGTTTGAAAAATGACATTATTCCATCTCTCTTTCTCTCTCTTATGTCCCCCCTCTTTCTCTTTAATTTTTGTTTTGTTTTTTAATTAATATATAACTAGAAGCGTACTCGTGCAATGCAGCGAGATACATCGTGATTTTTTAATATTTTATTTTATTCTTTATCTTAGTCGATGTTATAATATGGTTTTATGTGATTTT